ATAGATAGATAGATAGATAGGTAGATTTGACTGAATCAATGCAGACTCAGCATCCAATTCCAATTTAAAATGCCAATGTAAAATGTAAGTCCAAATGCCAGGGACTTAAATTTGGTGGGTCCCAGGAGGTGGACCTTCTCTGCCGTGGCGCCCATCTTATGGAACATCCTTCCACTGAAGTCAGGTTAGCTCCATCCCTGTTAATGTTTCGGAAGTCCTTCAAGACCTGGTTATGTCACCAGGCTTGGGAGTCCTAGGGAAGCAGTAATATTCTAAGATGGCTCCACTATTATGGTTGATATATTTACCTTCTCCATGCCTTGTGATTTGTATATTCAATTTTTAATAATATTTTAATTTTAATAATTATTTTTATATTTTTATAATGATTGTTTTTATATATTTGTTGTTTTATTTTATTGTTGTACACCACCCAGAGTCACTCCTTGCGAGATGTAAATTTGATAATAAAAAAATAAAAACAACTTTAAAAGTTATTAAAAATATATAAAAAAAGAAACATGTTGGCACATTAACATACAGTACCACAGAGATAGGTAAGCATCAAAAGAGTTTGGCACAGAAAAGTGGCATTTGTAGCCTTGTCACTTGTCATTCTTGAAATTTTGTTGTACTCTTCCTTAGAGAGTTTTTAAGAAATTATAACTGAGAAGAAATTGAGAGCGGAGAAGCCCAAAGAAATGTTGGCATATAATCTTGCTGCCACTCTATTTGTAGTTTTGGTTGCCATACACATTTGGAAAGACAACAAAGACCAGGGGTGACCAATTAATGAAACAATTGGTAAACAGTATTAGCAAACAGCAATTCTTTGTCTATAACCTGACCATGACCAGGTATGATCATATTCTAGTATGAGGAAGTCCCTGTTGGAGAAATCCTTCCGGTTAAGCTTGTGTGCCTGCTTGTTTTAACTTGCCCCAGGCCAATATGAACAAGTCCTCACTTCAATGGTTTATAACTCCCAGGATTTCCAAAATCATTATTTTAAAAATGAGGCCACCATTCCAGGCCACGGCAATGGCAAACCATTTCTACATTACTGTCAAGAGTACAACATGGACATGTTTATGAAATGACCAGGAGCTGAGCTTGACACAAGGGAGACTCTCCTGCATCCCCTTTCCTCCCTCTGACTACCTAGCTTCTTCACTGCCAGGCCAGACATGCATCCTTTTAGCTTGGCAAGCCTAGCTCCATAGGAGAATGATCTAGAAGGGCATCTAATGACAACTCTCAGTGTAAATTGCTGGCAAAATTCTATCTCAGCAAATCATTACCTTTTACTTCTAAAAAGCTTATTGATGGCTGCATTGACACCTCCAAAATGTACAGCACAGAGAATGCTAATGTGAAAACTGGGCAAGATTCAGTTATTTACAATACTGGCTGGTTGGCAATG